GCAGCTGGGCATGGTAGTGCATACCTGTAATGCCAGCATTTGGGAGGCCAAGGCAGGAAAATCATTGTGAGTGCAGTGCCAGCCTGTGCTATACAGTGAGTTCAAGGCCAACCAGAATTACATAGCAAACAAACAAATAAACAACAACAAAAAAATAAAAACAGAAACAAACATGTTCCCGGAGATGATAAAAAGGGTATTTTATAATGATAAGAAGATCGATCTACCAGAAAGATATAACAGTTATAAACATTGATGCACCTAGTAACAGACCACCAAAATACATGAAACGAAAACTGACAAAATTGAAGAAAAAGAGATAATTCAACAATAATGAAGATTTCAATATCCCTACGTAAAGTAATGGCTAGGAAAAGCAGCAAGAATGTCAACAAGGCAAAGAGGACAAACAGTACTGTCAACGAACAGGCCTAGTAAAGATCTGTAAAATACTCCACCTGCTACCAGCAGGGGACATCCTCCAGTGCACACAGGACAGTCTCCAGGATGTCTCCAGGACAGCCCACATGCTGAACTCTGAAGTAAACCACAAGTGTAGAAGGGATGAAAAGATGCAAGTATGTTCTTTGACCACAATGGAATAAAGTTAGAGATCATTAAACTATATTTGGAAAACATATAAATATGTCCCTATCAAACAACACACTCTTAAATGACCAATGAGTCAGAGAAATCACAAGAAAGATAAAAAAAAAAAAAAAAACACCATGATAAATGAAAATAAAGATAAAATGTACTAAACCTTGTGGCTCAAGCTTGGAGGGAAATTCACTGCTGGAAAAATCTACATTAAAAAGGGATGATGTGGGCCAGGCATGGTGGCGCACGCCTGTAATCCCAGCACTCGGGAGGCTGAGGCAGGAGCATTGCTGCAAGCTTAAGGCCAGCCTGGGCTACAAAGTGAGCTCAAGGCCAGCCTGAACTGCATAGCAAGACCGTGTCTCAAAAAGACAAAAAAAGGTGGGGGAGATGATGTAAAGTGAGTAACAGTCTTTCAACTCAAGGAACAAGGAAAAGAACAAACTAAACCTAAACCAACTTCAGGGAAGGAAATAATAAGGATCAGAATGGAAGATTGAAAGCAAAGATTTAAGGCTGAATAATATTCCATTGTTCAGAGAGACCACATTTTTTGTCTGTCATCCATCAATAGATCACTAGGTTTCTTCCAACTTCGTGATTTTGTGCATAATGCTGCTTTGACTATGGACTTCTACATCTCTCTTTAAAAAGAAAGGAAATAAAAAATAAAAAAATAAAAATAAAAAGAAAGGAAATTCTGACCCATGTTACAGGATGGATGAACCATAAGGCCATGCTAAGTGAAATAAGCCAGCTACAAAAGGACAGACACTGTATGATTCTATGAGGTCCCTAGAACAGTCAGATTTGCAGGGACAGAAAGTAAAATGGTGGCCATGAGGGGTATGGGAGGGCAGAGGGAGAGTTACTGTTTAAAGGGTTCAGAGTTCAGTTTTATAAGATAAAAAGAATTATGTGGATGGATGGTAGTGAGGCCTGCACAACAAAATAAAAGCACTTAAGTCCACTGAACTGTACAATTAAAAAATGGTTGAGATGGCAGATTTTATGTTGTGTGTACTCTACCACATTTTTTAAAAGAAAAGATTAGAGCGGAAAGTAATAAAATAGAGGACAGAAAAACAACAGAAAAAATCAGCTACATCAAAAGTTAGTTCTTTGAGAAGTTCAACAAAATTGGCAAATAGTTAACTAGATTTATCCAAGAAAAAGAAAAAAGTGAAGACTCATATTACAAGTCAGAAATGAAAGAGGGGGAGATTATTACTGACCTTACAGAAATAAATGGATTAGAAGAGAATACTAGGAACAAGTATATGCTGATAAATCAGATAAATTAGATGAAACGGACAAATTCCTAGAAATACACAAACTATAGTAATTGACTCAGGGAATAAGAAACAATCAGACTAGATCAGAAAAAGGGAAGAGACTGAATTAGTCATCCAAAATCTACCCACATAGCCAGGCATGGTGGTGCATGCCTGTAATCCCAGCACTCAGGAGACTGAAGCAGGAGGATCTTTGTTAGTTCAAGACCAGCCTGGGCTAGTGAGCTCAAAGCCAGCCTGGACTGCATAGTGAGACCCTGTCTCAAAAAAACAAAACAAAACAAAACAAATCTACCCACAAAGGAATGTCCTTAGAGGTGAATTCCACCAAACAGCTAAAGAATATGTAATAATAATTCTTCAGTCTCTTCCAGAAAATAGAAGATGAGCAAACACTTTCCAGGTTATGGAAACTGACACACAGTACAAGATGGGTGAACCCTGAGGACACTGTGCTACTTGAAAGAAGCCAGTGGCAAAATCTCATACGTTATCCTATGATTCCAATTTTATGAGGTGATACTAAAATGCATAAAGGCTGGGTGTGGTGCTGTACATCTCACAGGACTCAGGAGGCTGAGGCAAAAGGATCACTGTGGGTTCAAGGCCAGCGTGGGCTGCAAAATGAATTCAAAGCCAGCCTGAACCACACAGTGAGACCCTATCTCAAAAAACTAACTAACTAACTAAAACTAACTAACCAACTAACTAAGTGCATTAAGTTCTTCTTTGAGTAGATAAAAAGGTTGTACAACTGATTGTAGTGATGGCTGTATAATTCCGTGAAATGCTAAACATCATCAGGTTGTACATTTTAAATAGGAAAATTACTTAGTGAGAGATTTATGTCTCATTAAAGCAGTTATCAAAAAAAAGAATGTTCAATTTTTATACATTACACACACTGAACTCTTCAGTGATCTCTATTTGTAACACATTTCCTTCCATGGGTTCCACAAGCCTTATAAACCCGTTCCTTTGATCAGAAAGACTTGTGCTGAGCACCTGCTGGATGCGGTCACACAGCGAGGAATGCAGGCGTTGAAATAGTGCCGCCCCTGCCCCCGCAGCTTGTGGCCAGGTGAGGCAGAGCAGCATCCAGTTAAATTCCAGCCTGCTGAATGCCTAATGCCTCACAGCATGGGTAAACTCTTCACAGTGACCCAAAGGAGTAAAGAATAATCTGAGCCAGCGTCTACTGAGCACTCACTATGTGTCCAGCACTGTGCTGACCTCTGTCCTTCCACCACATGCGATGAGGGCAGGGAGATCCTTCGGCCTTCAGGAGTTCCAGACAAAATCAGGTTTGAGATGGGACCAAGAGAAGGCCTCAACTAGCTCAGGAAAGAAATGAAGCTCTGTAGACTGAGGGGTTCTCAGCTTGGAGTGGCAAAGTACCCTGAGGTCTCAAGACCAGAGTTCTCACTCAGATTCTGCCCATTCCCTCAACACCTCTTGATGACTCAATTTGTTCAGCTGTGAAATGGGACCACTGCTGCTACTCCTGCCATGAGGTTAAGAGACAATGATTTGAATAAAGGAAAAAACAACTCTACCCTGCATGGTTCTGGGAAATGGGGCCCTGTGCCCCAGCATGTAGAAGGCATCTGGCTACCTGGGTTAAAGACCTAGCTCCATGATCCTACATGAGTGCCTTTCTCACTTCCTCCACCTGTGTCCTCTTGCTGGATGAGGCACTCAAGGTGGCTGTAAGCCATGCAAGAGTGCAGTCAGGACAGCACATCTTCTCCTCAGTGAGTCTGAGAACTGCCCTGCCCAGGGCCCAGGCCACACACAGGAGGATGGAGAGTGTGGTTGTGAATGGCGGTGCCTGTGAGCTCAGCCAGGGCTCAGTTGGGAGCACACAGGGGGCCGTGTATGGGCAGGCCACACATGGAGCCTTAACAACCACCCAGGTCCTCAGCTGTCCTTTGCCCTATCCTTCTACAGACACTTGGGGTGGGGCAGGACGGGGTCAGTCTAGGCAGCATTCCTATGCCAAGGGCCTCTCATGTGCTATATTTCTGGAGGGGCACACAGGGCCCCAGTGGGTGTGGCTCTCCAGGACAGCCACCAGTGGGTCACCTAGCCTAGGCAGGGTAGAGGTAGGGGCCCCCCATGTGGCCTGGGGATCTCACCACCATGCAGGTGAGGGACTGGGATTCTGCATTCCTAACACATTCCCAGCACACACCGATGCAGCTGTGCCCAGCCCAGGGATTCAACAGGAGGACCTAGAGTCTGGCACAGCCAGTTCTGATCAGCAACGAGCACATTTTGGCCTCCCAGGGCCCTGGACGCAGCCCCACCCAACACTACCACGGCTTCCAACATCTGGAAGGTGACACTCCATGGGTTTTCAGAGCTTCCAGGATTCCTTTGCCATTACATGTATAAAATAAAACTAGTACCACATTATAAAAAATTGGAAAATATGAAAAACTGTAAGAAAAAAAAATCACTGATAATCTCATACTCTATTTTAAAAGACAGTTGGCTAATTTATATCCCAGGATCCCAAAGACACATCTATCAGGGAGTCAGGGGTCACCCGGAAGTGGGGTCTGCTTGGTCACAGCAAAGCATGTGGCAGGGGTGGGGGGCTGCTCCTGATGCCCCCCATCTCCTGGCCTCCTGGCCCCCAAGAGAGATGCCCAGCCCCTCAGCCTGAGACCTTCACCTAGACCTCTTTGAGGGGTGCAAAGTGGGGACAAGACCCCCTCCCCTCCTCTCTATAGGCGGAGGGAGGCAGAGGTGGGGTCTGAGGGAGGGGTGCACATCTGGATTCCTGGCCCGGCGCCCACATTCCTTCCCTGTGAGTGTGAGCAGCTGGGGCCTCCAGAGAGTGAGAGGAGGCTGCTGGCCCCAGGCCCCACCATAATGGGGCCCATCCTGCAGAAGGCCCAGAGCTTCATTGGGGGGCCCGGTTTAGATCCAGAATCCGCCACTCAGACCGCTGCCCCACCAGCCTGTGCCTCAGCCGGGCCTCTGTTCCGACCACAGAGGAGATAGAAGGGGGAGGCCACAGCGTTTGCCCACCCACAGGCCAGTGTGGGTCAGAGGCCCTGGGCTCCAGGGAGCATGATCCTCCACCTGTCACCTTACCTGAGGACAGTCCTTGATGTAGTGGCCCTTGTTGAAGCACAGGTGGCACAGGTAATTGGGCGGAGGCCGCTTACTGGGCTTGCGGGCCTCCGAGCTGAGGGTCAGGTCCGAGAAGTGCTCGGTGAGCGAGCTCAGGCCATCAGCGATGTTGTTGAGGGAGCCGTAGGGTGAGGCACTCTTGTACACGCTGTTGCTCAGCGCCTGTGGGGACAGAGGCACATTGGCAGGGGTGGCCGGGAGATTTCCTTTGTCCGCATCCCCGTATAAACTCGCACAGCACCCTCGGCTGCCTAAACTCCTTGGCCTCCAGGAGCCTGAGTTCAAATTGAACCCTAACCCCAGGGTAAGTCTTCAGGTGGCCAGTTAGCCACACTGGGCCTCAGTGGCTCTGTCTGTAACACAGGAATATGACAGCGGCCTCAGGGAGTTTCTATCCAAGCCTGACACTTAGGAACCCTTCAGTCGGTGGTGACAGTGACAATGGCTGTGGTTTTTACCACTCTCCCGGTTCTTTAGAGCTGCCACGAGTAGGAAGGTAGAGGAGAAAGCTGCCTGTCAGATTTGGGGCCCTGCCACTAACTGGTAGAGGGACACTAGGCAAATCACTGCTGACTCAGTTTCCCCACTAGCGTGGGGCGTATTTTCCACTTCACAGAAAGGAAGACTGAAGCGTCCGGGAGCCCTGCCCGGCCCCGGCCATTCTTCGGGAGCCAGAAGGGGGAAGTGGCCTACCTCTCCCACCTCCTGATGACAGGAACCAGACACCCCGCCAAGCGTCAAGGCAGACGCGGCCCAGGCCACCTCTTGGTGTACACAGCCTCTATTTATAGGCGTCGCGGGCTCCAGGCGGCCTGGCACGCTGGAGCCCAGGGAAGGTGGGGCCTGCGGTAAGGCCAGCAAGGAACGGCCGTGGGTCCCTCTCCCAGGGCAGAGCTGAGGCTGGAAAGAGGACAAACCTGGGCATGGAGCTTGGCCTCCCTGGCACCAACGCAGGTGCCTAAGAGCTACAGAAATGGCTGTGGACCTGGGGACCGTGGCTGTACTATGAGGCTGTGTTCCTGGGAGTCTTCAGGCTGCTGGGGCCAGGGCCAGTGGAAAGAAAGCCTCACAGCTGGGGTAAACAGAGGCCCGGGGGGGGGGGACAATGGGGAGAGGGGAGGGAAGACAGCTGAGAACCGTGCCCAGGGTGTGCATCACCCCCTATCCTCCCCCGGTCACTGCCCACATGTTCCTCCTCGCTGTCTCCACCTTTAGGGGTAGGCCGCTCCCCTCGTAGGGCACAAGGCCCTCCTCATCGGGGGAGATGGTATCTCATCAAGACACTTTGCTGTGTGATCCTAGGCCAGCACTTTCCCTCTCTGGGCTTCTGTTCCAGCTTATGTACTTTTGGACACCAGCCTGGAATGTGGAAGGAAAGAGACACCACATCCATGGTGGCTCTGAGAGCACCCAGCTGCAGGACAGGGACTGTGTCTGGGTCCTAGCGGCCGTCTCTGCTCTACACTGCCTGGTTCCACCACGAAGCCGAGAAGCGTGGAAGACTGGGGTGACCCCTCAGCTCTCCAAGGAGCCCAGGATGGAGGGGGCCGCCCCAGCTGGCGGAGGGTGCAGGGGAGGCATCAGATCAGGCGACGCTGGTGGCGGGCGGAGGCTGGCGCTCCAGCTCTGGGACTTCACCCACACGCAGATAGCGGCTCTCACCCCTGCACAGTGAGTCACACTCCCCATTCTACAGATTAAACAAGTGTGTCCAACTCGTATTGAATGACTTGGGAAACTTGTAACCAAAACAGTTTTCTGGGCCCCACCCTAGACAGACTCAGCACCGCTCAGGACCAAGGACCCAGAATCTGCATCTTTCACCAAATGGCAAAACACATCAGTAAAAGTTACCATTGCGACTTTTTGCGGGGGTGGGGGTGGGGCACAGTACTGAGAATTGGACCCAGGGCCTTACCACTGAGTTATATTCCCAGCCCTTTTTCTATTTTGAGACACAGTCTCACTCAGTCATTAAATTGCTCTTGCTGGACTCAAACTTGCAATCCTCCTGTTTCAGCCTCCCAGAGTGCTGAGGTCACAGGCATGTGCCACTGTGTCCAGCTCACTGTAACGATCTCAAAGCATACAGGTCAGTGGCAGTACGTGTATTCACTCTGTGCAACCAACCATCACCTCCATCCAGAACTGTTCCATCTTCCCAAATGGAAACTGCCCCATCAGACACCAGCGCCTCGCCTTCCCCTCCCCCAGCCTGAACGTGCACCTCTCAGGCCCCCGGCAGTTTGTGTCCCTGTAGCCAGGCCCACCGGCCTGTCCTGTCCACCAGCCAGGTCTCTCTTAGCCTCTCTCCAAGACTGATCCCAGCCCAGGAGACCCCACTCCACCCCGGAGTAGCCAGAGGGGGGCAGCAGGGCCAAGCTCCAAACGCTGTGACTCACCCTCGCGGCTGGGAAATGCAATTTCACAAATAACAACCGTCTTACCCCCACTCCATTTCCTTTTTCTTTCTTTCTTTTTTTCTGGATAGGATTTAAGTAAGTCCGCAGGAATCAGGGCTGTCTTGGCAGCACGTTGTCAAGAGGAAGGGGAAGTTTGGTGGATGCCTGAAAGTGCACTAATTACACCCTGAAATTCCTCTCCCCCAACTTGTGGCCGCGCTCCCCTGCCCACGATGGCCCCTCGGGCATCCTGGGCAGCTAGAGGTCTCCAAGCGGGCGGCCTCTCCTCGGTGGTTCAACAGCACCCACCCCTGCCTCCCCAGGGTCACGGCTCTGTCCCTCCACACCCAGCCTTCCTGACCTCAGTGTTCTCCAGCCTGGGCCCAGGGGCTGCTGGCCCCAGCCCCAATTCAAGACAAACAGAACCTCAGAGTTAAAGAACAGAGTGCGGACAGCCGACCTGGCCTCAGTTCTGTGTTACAGACAGACAAACTGAGGCCTGAGAGGTACAGGTTCGCAGGCCCGGGCTGGACTAACAGTCATGAGGCCCCTTGCTTGGCCAGCGAAGGGCGGGCGGGGCAGCAAGCTGTTTCCTCTCCACAGCCCGGTTTGAGCTCGGGCCATGGAGGTGAAAGGCGAGTCCTGGCTGTTTTCACGGCCTGTGGGCACCGGACAGAGGTCAGGACACGGGGCCGGGTGCTGGCCTCTTGGGTTTCCCATCTATAAAACACACAATGGGGCAGCAGGGGAGGGCACACCTGACCATCCGCAGCCCTGCCATCCTCAGGCACAGGCGTCCGGGTCCTGAGAGATGCCCCAAGCCTGGCACATGGACAGTGCCCAGCTTCCCTCTGCACTGGGGACCAGGCAGGCATGGAGCCTCCATCAGTCACCCCAACTCAGCCACGGCAAGTGGCTCCTCTCAGAATCCCCACTGAGACCCTGCTTTTCTCCCTGGGCTGCATGCACTGCCCCTTCCCAGAATGCCCTTCTCCGTGCCCAGGCGAACTCCTGCAGGACCTGGCTCCAGGCCTGGCTCTAACTCCAGTGCTGCAGCCTCGCAGCCATCCTTCTCCTGACCCAGCCTCAGGGTCCCAGGAACAGTGTGAGAAGCACAGATCCGTAGGGCTCTGGCCTCCTCCTGGGACCTCCTGCCCTGACCCCTGACCCCTGGGACCTCCTGCCCTGACCCCTGACCCCTGACCTCTACCCTGGTGGGAGACACAGATCATCATGCAAAGCTGGCCGTGAGTCTGCTGGTGTTAAGAAGTCACTCCAGTCTCCTTGGATCGTGACATCTCACTTCACCCACAAGGCTGAGTAGCCCTGCAGGCACCATTCTGTGGCCTCCTGTTGCCCTGGGACCCAGACTGGTTTTGCTGCTCCGTGACACCTGTTCTTGTCCCATGTGGGGAAGGACCTGGACGCCCATGGGACAGGGAAGGTACTGCCCTAAATGAAAGGTTTGGATTGGGGCCTCAGGCTTCCTGTGGATGGATGGGATGCTCTGGGTATCAGGTGGTGGATGGAGGCCTCTGGGTCACATCTCCTCCCTCCTGGATCAGTGATCCAGCAGCCCGGAGAAAGTATGGCATCCTCACCACATGTCAAGAGACTAAATGTCACACTCCTGCCCATGGTTGGAACTTCTGCAAGGGTCTGTATGGCTGCTGGGGAAAATCAGATAAGGTGACACTAGAGTTGTGACTGTACACACATTGTACACTGGACTACAACCTCTCTCTGCCTTAGCTCCCTTTGCCTGGCAAGAGCACAACCTAGATGCGCACTGTTGGCCTCATTTTATAGAACTGGAAAAGGAGGCTCAGAGGAGCTGAGTCACTCGCCCAAGGTAACACAGCCAGTATGTGCTGGGCTGTGACATTTCAGCCTCCACACAGCTTCCAAGGTTTGGCCTCTCCTACAGGAATGGGAGCCAGAGGAGAGTGCCAGGTGCTGAGCCCTGGGTTCTGACGAGATGAGGCACCAGATTTTCTGGGCTGTTCGAGAGGTTCAGACCCCGGAGACGGAGGCTCTGAGGCGCAGACAGAGATCCTCCAGGGCACGCCTGCTGAGGGGTCTTCTCCTCCCCAGGGTGGTCAGAGGGCACCGCAGGCCAGGAAGGGTGGGTAGAGCTCTGAGTGAAGACCAGAGGGAGAGGAGACTGGAGACAGCAGCAGAGAGGGGGGCATCTGCAGGGAGCAGCATGGCAGTGGGCAAGGCCACCAAGAATGCATTGTCAGGCCCTGGCCACTGGTAGGGCAGTGCAGGAGGCCGGGCAGATGCCAATGCTGAGTCCTGCACCCAGGCTTTTCTGACCCTAATCCCCAGCTCTGTGGGGTTCTTTCTGCCAGCCACACAACTGCTTTCCTACCCCCAAAGCCTCCATATCCTTTGTCATGGCTTGCGTCCAGAGGTCTCCCCCAACCCTCACGCAGTCTCAGATGGGGTTTTTCCTGGGGTGGCTGGATCTAGAATGTGTGATGCTGGGATTAAGGGTGTATGCTTAGTAAATCAGTCTGCTGATTGGTTTGCCATAGCTCTGGCTAGGATTAAAGGTGTGAGTGTTATACCTGCCCTGGGGCGGACAGCCTGCATACAATATAAGGGACAGAAAGAGGCTTGTCGCCCCTTTTCTTGCTTGCTTTTGCTGTCTTCTGCTGCCATGAACTGTTTCTCCTCTGGGTTGCCCGTCTGCCATGTGCCACTCTGCCTTGGAGTCAGCCGATTATGGACTGAAACTTCTACAAACTGTGAGCT